GGTAATCTCACACAGTCTACTCACCTCTCTCGGAGAAAAACTGGGCTATAAATTAACGCTCTTGTCTTTTTCTCTCTTATCTCTCTAGTTTTTTAAACATGACTTTATTATTTTTCTAGGCAGCATAGTAACCGCCATGTTTCTTGTCTTGTACTGAGCTGCTGAACAGGAATGAACCATCTAACGCAGATCCAGGGGGGAGTTCAGTGTAAATATAGATGTGTGCGTTTTGGTCTGGGAGGGATAACATTTAATTTTCACTGCTAAAAACAATTTTAAAAAACACAATAACAGTAATTCACAGGGCCCCACTTTTTATTTCATTTCTGTAAAACAAGTTTTTTTTGTGGAGGGCCCCCTGTCATCCAGGGCCCTTAGAATTGTCATAGGGTTAACCCTTTCCCTGCCTATACGGCGCCCCTGTGACCACCTGAGGGATTCCCACCTGTCAGTGGGCGGGCCTTATCAGGTCTTCAATGTTGGACCTGAACCAAAGGAACCAGGAAAAAACGGGTCGCCCAACCGGGTCAGAACATCTCCAGTTGAATCCAGTTCTGATACTGCAGTACTGACCAAGATATCATCAGAACCGGACTGGTGGTCTCAGTGCAGCTGCTAAAACATCTGACTGGTTCTGCCTGATGGGTCGACCCGCTGGGTTTCATGTGCTGCATGTCCTGAGAGAACTCCCAGAACCAGAACCCGTCTCTGTGAGCGGCCATGACCGACTGGAGGTTTGAAAAGGCAAAGACACGAGAAGGCAGCGCCGCCGCCGGACAGACTGATGGGGTCGCTCTGTGCCAGCCGTTCCTTCTACAGGATGAAACCAGAGAACGGTTCTGTTCTAACCGGGTCCAGTTCGCCTCAGCCCACTGTCTGACTGACGGCTGGACCCGTTTTTTATCTAGACCCCAGAACCGCTCACTCTATGAGATGAAAAGGTCAAAGTTCAACCATGGTAAGGAGCGCTGCGTTCTGTGTGCAGGCTCCGCTGGGGAGGGCCCGGTCCAGGGGCCTCACCATCCCGGGTCCAGATTTCACCTATGGAGCCAGCACCATGATGAAAGACGGAAGTGTGGCTGAAGGTAAGCCCCGCCCCCTGCTAACACCTGACCGGACCTGGAGCCACTGGACCGGGCCGGAACCGGGCCAGAACCAGGTCCTGGTTGGTCCAGAAATCTGCTGTATCTCTGAACCCAGGCTCGGTTCTGGTTCTGAACTGCTGCTCATGTCCAGTCCACTCCAAGGAGTTCACCAGAACCGGTTCCAGGGTTCGGACCAGAACCGGCTTTAAGCTGCGGCTGATTGTCCTTTAAGGACGGAAAGACCTGAGTGTGTGTTCAGTGTGTGTTCGGTGTGTGTTCGGTGTGTGTTCAGTGTGTGTTCAGTGTGTGTGTTCGGTGTGTGTTCAGTGTGTGTTCAGTGTGTGTGTTCGGTGTGTGTTC